AAAACCTACCCCATACATACATAACCCCTCACACCCACAAGCACACACCAACTAAATACTATACATTTTAAGAATACCTACTTCCATTTTACACTAACCCACATATATATTATATACTGAAGTACTTACCTATATTCCAAACAAATCAATAAATATGTTAAAAAAAATAAATGTTAAGCAAAATGTAAATTAGATTTTGCTTAATGTTACATTTTGATAAGCAATTGGAAGTGATCCTCAAATTTGCAACGCCTGATAAAGGCCGTTAAGCTGTGCCTGTTATTTCATTTAAGACCTGTACTACTCTGTCAAGACAGTACCGGGAAAGATCTTAAGATCTTCTATCGATTGAAAACGGGTGCCACGAAGTGGTAATTTGAATAAGAAAGAGAAAAAAGTCAGCAGGAGCCATATCTGGTGAATATGGTGGTTGCTGGATGGTATTTGTTGAGTGTTTGGTCAAAAATTCGTACACAATGATAGCCTTGTGCTAAGGCGCATTGTGGTGATGCAAAATCCAAGAATTTTCTTTCCACAAATCTGGCCTTTTTCGTCGAATTAACTCTCTTAAACGCCGCATAACGCTCAAATAATATTCTTTATTTACCGTTAGACCTTCCGGTAAGAATTTAGAGTGCACAACACCGCGATAGTCAAAGAAAACAGTCAACATGACTTTGACTTTTGATCGACTTTGGCGTGGTTTTTTCGGTTTCGGTTCAGTTGGAAGGCGCCACTCCGAAGCTTGTTGACTAGTTTGCATGTCAAACTCGTAAACCCACGTCTCGTCACCAGTAACAATTTTTAGTTTCATGAATGTTAGGTCCGAACTGACTCGTTCTAGCATGTCCTCGGCGACTTTCATGCGATTGAGTTTTTGGAGAAAATTCAGATCTTTTGGGACTAGCCGAGCAGCAACATGTTTCATACCCAAATGATTAGTTAAAATGGTACGGATCGACTCGCGAGATACAGAAAGTTCAGTGGCTATCTCTCTCAGACTTGAATGAGGATTTTCAGTCACTATTTCCTTCACTTTTGCAATGTTAACTTCAGTTACAGGCGTTGACAGCCTACCAGAGCGAGGCAAATCTTCCATCACATCTCGACCGCTTTTGAACGCTTTGAACCACTCATAAGCACGAGTTTTTGATAAAGTCGATTCACCGTAAGCCTTCTGTAACATTTTCAGTGACTCCGAACACGAAATTCCATTGGCGATGCAAAATTTAAGACAAATTCTTTGATCGATATTTTTGTCCATTATGAAATTCGCAATACACACTATATGTAATATCATATATAGTGTGTATTGCGAATTTCGAAAAACAATGTATTTAATATAAATAACAGATGCAACTCAAACTCCGCGCCAAAATGGAAAACAGTTGTGTCAATCTAACAACTACAAAAAAACAAAAATTTGAATTTGGAACCATAAACGAATCATCCATTCCTGATACTTTTTTGACTGAATGTACCTTAACATGCAAATAAAGAGTTTGAGTTTGTGTGGTAAGTGATAAGTCTAACTACGGTAGAAAACTAATTTCAATTGGAACGAATTCGAAAGTAAATGTATTCGAACATGAGAGAGGGCGATGTGGTGTTGGTCAACTAATTGAAAAACTTTATGTCAGGCAGCCCGCGGCGTAGCGCGCGCCACTCACTGCCGCCACACTCGCCACACTCGCCACACTCGACACACTTGACACACTCGCCACTCTCGACACTCTCGCCACACTGCAGCTCCACCGGCTCACTATGGTTGTCCACCTGCTAGCTGCTACTCTACTTACGCACTACGAATGAGTTTCATTTCTGAAAACGAGCTCTTACCGGAATAGGTACAAGACTAACCATGGAGTATTGAAAAGATACAAGCCAGGAGTTTCTTGTTTATGTATGCAGCTATGATACAATAAACTTAGTTTGCTAGTTGTTGTTGTCTTGGTTGAAATAGCGATTCAACTGTGTTATTACACAGTTGAATTGTCTTCGTTGGGTATTGCTGTAAGACAAACAGAGGGTCGCGCGCCCTCGTGGCGGCCGCACGGACGATATATTACATTCCTCGCTAGAAATTTACTCATTACACATCAGCGGCCGCACTGCTAGCATGTGTCAGGGTGACTGCGTGCCAGCTACTCGCCCAGCTCTTCAGTCTCCACAATGGTTTGTGTCATTAGTCGTCAGGTGAAGTATTAGACACACTCTTTTGACAACGCGTGCTTTTCCATTCGTCATCGAGTAATTGCTGAACATCATTATGCACATAAAACTTGGAAAGATATTCCGACGGAATGAGAACAGTTTGATGTCAGTTTCATATTTAAAGTTTATACGTAGGTACTTATGTACTTTTGAATGAGTTAACCGCTATCTACAATTTTTTTCTTTAAATAATTTGATATCTGAATAAAGTTAGAACAATAACTTACCGCGCAAGGAGGGGGAGGGATATTAAGATTCTGCACCGCAGCGCCGCCTGCCACCACCCCGGAACGCAATTTTTGCAAATACTTTATGCTAATGTTTACCAATACCGTATTATGCCCCTTTCATTATGTGTGCGCTCCACCGCCAGACACCGGCAATCTTCAATTGAATCTAACCCTGGAAACAATCTGTTGTATAAATTGTCAAGTTGACAACTGAGCGGGACTGTACTGCACTGTAACCAGTCTCTGCTATTGAAATATTTAATTTTGATTTTGATTTCAATTTGTATTTTAATTCTGATTTTAATATTAATAACATTTTAGTTTCATATTCTATTACAGTGTTTTCTTTTCCTCCAATTAATCTATTGCTAATTTATTCACGTAATTTAATGGAACTTAATTTGATTTTAAACTGACACCTTTTATTCTAATTTTGCTTTCATTAATTGATATTTTTCGATCGATCGATCTATGATCGATTGTAACATTTTACTGTTATCTTATTAAAATGTTTGTTGTTTAATGTACTAATGTATACAATTGTTAATGGGCCCAAGATAAACAAAAAAAAACTAGTAGTCTCTTCTAAATAAATCAAATTCTCGATATTTTATTCAATCGACAGCTGCGGCTCATTAGCATCAGCAATGAATCAGTCGTTGGGGCTATACTTATTGATGCGCTCACGATCACAACGTTTGATTTATACATTTTAATTATTACATTTCGCGCATAATTTACTTACTAAATGAAATAATATCAGAGAGACCATGAGTTGAATGTAAACCACTTACTGCAGAGTTATAGTACATTCTGCCACGTAGCAAGTTAACTCAATATTGACAATCGTTTTGTATATGATGCAAACCATCCAGAATCGATTCGATCGACTGCTAGAGTCGGTACCTGTGACGACGCTAATTGTACTCTGTAACAGCACACAATGCCACCGGTTGTTGACAAACATCGCTACAAAACACTCAACTAGAACATGTTTCACTTTCACGGATACCTTGAAGCCTGCTCGACCTTCCCGCCGCAGAACCGTGTTGATTTACATGGCAGAGTGTCCTCGAGCCGCGCCCCGCGCCCCGCGCCCCGCACACAGCTGACAGCACCCAGCTCGCGGCGCGGCGTCTACCACCGCGATACCATCACACACCTACACTTCCAATTAAACCGCCACGCTAGTGGTCCGACCCTGCTTCACTCGGGTAGCACCCGACTCTGACTTTTATATTCCTCACTAACCTTGTCCTGGCCATAACAAACAACTAAAAATGATATAATTTAGTTAAAAGAAGTTATGTGCGTACATGTATTTTGAAGATAATTGTATAGTTTATAATCAATCGTGGCATTAACACTGTTGACACCGCTGACACTGCGACACTGCGACACTGACACCGGCGGCGACAGCAGACCCTCGCGCGTAAAAATAAGATTACTTTCTGAAGTTTGAAGCGAAATGGCGCTTACACAACGGTAACTCAATTTTCGCACAATTCCTCTCCGGGAGGGTCGCGACTTAGGAGGGCCATATTGTTACCCCTCGCTTGAGATCAACTCGATTATAACAATTCAGAGAGCGCAGTAATGGCGCAATAATGACCTGATGATTAGGAGAGTAGCAGCGCTAGTTACAGCTCTGCTAGGCGACCCTGTACATGTTGTTACTACTCACACACACGTTACTAAACCATAGAGCAACACGGGCCACCGGCGGACCGGAGTGCTCTATGTACTAAACAGATGTAAGATGCTCTTGGCTGGTGCTGATCCTAATTACAAATATTTAATGCCCAACAGAGGAACCAACGGTTACAACAGTGCTGCTACGCAAACAATTATTTGTGCGATAAACAGACTGAGCCCCAGACTGAATAGTGAATATTTTTTGTCAAAACGAGTACACATACAAAATAGAGACTTACTTAAAACCGTGGGGCAGTTTTGAACAGCCTTACCCCCCCTACTGTCTTCCTGATTAGAAACGGACCCATGGGGTCAAATTTTCTAATCAGTGTGGTGGAGGATATCTAAGCCTCCGTGTAGCATATCCCGAAAGTCCTGGGACCGTACACGATACAATATTAAAACTAATACACATAATGTAACACTGGAATCGTATTTGTCGGAGCACACAATTTTTATTTATGGCATAAGCCGGTAAACGAGCAGCCGGATCACCTGAAGCAATCGGCGTCGCCCATGGACACCTGGAACACCAGAGGCGTTACAAGTGCGTTACCGGCTTTTGGGGGATTAGGAGTTTGAGGATCATTGGGGATTCAGGGATTGGGGAGATTGGGGAAGGGGAGGGTAATTGGGCCTCCGGTAACCTCACTCACACGACGAAACACAACGCAAGCGGTTTTCTGTGAGGCCGTGGTATCACTCCGGTCGAGCCGGCCCATTCGTGCCGAAGCATGGCTCTCCCACAAAATGCCTATGCTAATTACTAATGAATAATAAGGAAACTGCATAGTATAATAAATATAATGTAAGTAAGTATAATAATTATAATACAATCATAAGTCATAATAAATTAAATACATGTTAAAGGTAATAATAATAAAGGCAAAAAAAATTATACGTACAAAAATCTGATACATTTTTGACACAGTAATCGGTTAAATGGGAACAAAACCTTTGAATGGGATGCTACGCGTATCGTAGCACGTTGTGTTCACCAGGCGCCGCCGCGCGCCGCAGTAGTAGCATTCAGCAAGCGCTACGCATCTCGTAGCAACGTGCTACGCGGAGATGGAGACGATCGAGACTGTAGCTGTAGGCTCTCCTTAATGTGTTGCGCGTAGTGTCGGCGCGGCGTCCGCGTCGCAGTGACACACACGTACCAGTTATACTAATTACAAATACTGTTTACTGCTGTCGCACCAAAGACCACAGAATTGAATTACCCGAACACGGAGTCCGCGTGATGAGATCTTTAAGATATTTATTAAATCTATTTATAAGTTAGTAAATATCGTGGTGACCTGGCGGTAAAGATGCCTGGTCATGTACGGGGGTGCAGGTTCGAAACCTACCAACGGCATACTTGCCAATGTGACTTTATCCGAGTTTTAGTACTTTCTAAGAATATTTAGACACCACTGACCAACAGTAAAGTAAAAAGTCACATCGTGAGGAAACCTGGACTTATAATTTACTAGCTTTTACCCGCGGCTTCGCTCGCGTCACAAAAATAGCTTATGTGACATATAACGATATACACAGCGCCATCTATACCAATACTTTTGTTTTCCCTCGGGAATATAAAATTTTTCCGGGATAAAAAGTACCCTATTATTTAATCCGGACTTCTAACTTTACATTTCCAAAAATTTAAAGCAATCCGTTTACTAGTTACGGCGTGAAAGCGGAACAAACAAACAAACAAACTCACTTTCCGATTTATAGTATTAGTAAGGATAAGTTTGAAATCGCCAACCCGTAATGAGCAAGCGTGGTGATTAATGCTCAAACCTTCTGCATGTGAGAAGAAGCCTTTGGTCAGCAGTGGCCACTAATAGGCTGTTGATGTATATGTACCTCTATGTAAACCATATTTTTGCTGAGATTGCAACACACGGTAGATAGCTATAGATCTCTGTACTAACTGGATATCATACGTACGTATCATCATCATCCTGTATACTTACCGCCAGGTGGTCGGCCGTCTCCACATTGTCGCATCAAAGTGCACTTTACACAAAACGATAGTTATCCGTTTAAAAATATGTATATTGTATCTTAAGTTTTGTTTGTACAATAGTGTATTTGGTGTTGCACTCGCTCCCCGGCCGCCGCCCGCGATGTCCCCGCGTGGTGTTGGAAAGCAGACCCCTCTATCACTCTCCAGACACAAATATTCTACCAAAAAGATCCTTAGCTCTGTATTGATTCATCATTTGTATGGCTTTATAAATATTGTAGTATATTGAACTTGTGATGTTTTTGTTACAGGTCCGCCCGGGCCGCCGGGCAAGCGCGGCAAGAAGGGCAAGAAGGGAGATCCTGGCGAACCTGGACCTCCGGTCAGTGTTTCAGTGCACTTGTACTGCATTATATGCATTGTACTCTTGTATTTATATCGGAGAGTGCAGACGTTATCCGGAGACAAAGTATTGAGTTAAGCTTCAGTTAGCTTTTATTTTTGTTTTGTTTCGTTTGCAGGGGTTAACGGGTGCTCCTGGGAAGAATGGATTCCCGGTATTTTTTTATCATTTATTTATTTCTTTTTTATTTCTTTTCATTATATGTATGAGGTTTCTTTCCTTCATGAAGACATAAAGTCCCTTTATCTCTCGATGATCGCTAGGAGCGAGGCACCGGCCCGCTCCGTGCGCTCGCGAGCCGGTGCCGGCCACCTGACGCATGTCACGTTTCAGGGTAGCAAGGGCGAGAAGGGCGAGCGAGGCTACATGGTAAGACATGGTAGGCGGTAGTCTAGTGACCCCCCCCCCCTCCGCGACTCCCCCGCCTCGCCTTACTAACTCCATCCGCGGACTTTTACTGCGTGCGTTCAGTGTTCTTACACGAAACACTGGCGACAGTGGCTTCTGCAGCTGTTTACCAAGAAGAGTGTGCACTGCAAAGCTAATGCCTCGGCGCGCATAACTGGTAGTGGTACCGAGCTGGTAACTAGTGACACGTCTCGTGCGCGGTGCGTCTGTGTGCCGTGCCGGCCGAGGCGAGCCCGGGGCCGAGCTCGTTAGTTAACGCGAATGCATCCCTTGTAGCCCTGTACCTCACACAGTAACAATCTATCCTAGTAGTTGTAGTTGGTGTTTTTACTAAATTAGCTCCTCTACTTACTGCAATTATTTCCTTTATATAAGCCAGTCCAATATTTTAGTACTACCTAACACTGATTACAATTTAAAACCTGTAGTAATGATAATACGCATGGTCAGACCCCAGACCCCTAAAGTCGTGCAGGTCGCATTTACAGACTCTGACAGACTCGGTCTGGCAACTTATTGCTAATAGAACAACAACGCTTACATGTATACACAGTATGTACATTGTACATACATATGTATGTATATGTCACGTTCCTTGTACATTTATGCTATTACACTTTACTTGCTGCATCTGATGCAAATATGACCTATCTAAATGTAATATAGTTTTTATTGTATTTTTCAGGGCCCTATTGGCTTGGATGGACCTAAGGGAGACCCAGTAAGTAGCTCCTGTGCAGTACACTTATAAATAGCTTAACTTTTAGATAAAGTGCGAACCAAAGTTTATTTTCGGCCACTGCCGAGGTGGCAGCAGTGAGCGACCATGCATGGCCGCGTCAGTCGCTGACTGCTGCCTCCTCACGTCTTGACTTTGTACTAGCTCCGTAATATTTGCGAGTGCACACATCGACTTTATAATTACTGACCAGTGCACGCGTCTCACTCCAGGGCCGGCCCGGCGACAAGGGGCAGAAGGGTGAGCATGGCAGCCCTGGCTTCGATGTCTTCTCTGCCGTCAAGGTACGTACTCGTAGTAGTATAACGGATATTAATTTTATCTAAATACGTCCCGAAAGTGGTTGTTGAACACACACACAATTGGGAACTAAATCAATTAATTGCTCTGTCATACTGCCATTGGAAGACATTTACGGTTGGCCTGATGGCAAGCAGTCACCGTAACCTGAGTATACTAACCTGCGACACCAGAGGCACCACGAGTGCTTTGCTTACCATGTGTTTACCCATTACTATCGAGGAGCTCTTGTAAAAGATGCGGCATTCAAATGGATTAAGCATACGGAACTCTCATTTGCTAGACGTCGCTGCTAGTGTTGTAATGGCACAATTGTACATGTATGGAATAAATGTACACGTGCTGCTGCGGTGGCATTACCCGCCTCCGGAGTTACTTGTTAGTAAACATGAGTCGTGACATTGCAGGGCGTGAAAAGATCCGTGGACAGTTTTAAGATAAGTCCGTATACGAGCGCCGAGATCATAGCCGTCAAGGTACAGCAGTAGTGGCGCTAGTAGTGCTTTGTGTCGCACGCGTCTCACGCGCGCTTGTTGTGCTTTACATGTCGTTGTAGGTAGATTGTGTTCGTATCGATTAGATAACGTATGTGTGTGTTATGAGTGTGCTTGGTGTGGAAGCTCGCCCGTAGCCGGCCCGCTGGCCCGCGGCCCGCGGCCCGCGGCCCGCGGCCGGCTGCGGGGACGCTGACGCGCGTGTGTGCGCAGGGGCTGCAGGCCGCCGGCCACAACATCTCGGCGCACACCGTCATCCAGCTCAAGGTGAGTGCGCACGCGCGCGACCCGCGCTGCCTGGACTCCGCGCTGGGAAACCAGACTATATTTATGGAACTAATCATTACATTAGAACTAATCTCAAATACGCATGCTTTCAATTCACTGCATGAATTCTGTCTGATATGTAGATTTACCTACGTAGCAAATAATGAAATAAATAGATAACTAGGGATATAACTATTTATAAGTAATTGTAAGTATCTGTTCTCATTAAGAAAATAAAAAATACTAATAACAAACTTGTAGGCAGCATTTATAGTCACGCAAACTAACACCTATACAAAATTTCAGCTCAACCGGGCGAAGATATCTGCTTCAAAATTCAGTTGCAAGATTCCATTTCACACACATTCATACATTGCAAGTTGAATAAAAACTTGGAAATATTAATAAAGCTGTAAGAAACGCTCAATGCTTTGTTGGTTTAGCCAAACCTTTGTAATTCTTTTTATGATAACTATCGTGAGACATATTAAATTTAACTAAAAATTGCAGACTACACTCGTGAATATACTGAGAACAGCTCTACTAGTTTCGAGCCACAGACGGGCTCTGTGGCCAGTAGGGTGTGCGCGCGCTCTTTGTTAACCTTTGTAACTCGTTTAATTCAATCAGTTTAACAATATTTCCTTTATAGCTTTGTACTAACTGCATAATAAATAGTCTAATCTATATATGTATATAAAAATGAAACCCGTTTCCCGTTGTCACGCCATGACTTGACAACGGCTAGACCGATTTGGCTAGTTTTTTTGTTGTGTTTATTATTGTCAGGAGAAAGTTCTTATGAAAAAGTCCTGAAAATCCTACGGGAACGGGAGAAAACGAGTTCGCTCGTACGAAGTCGCGGGCAGAAGCTAGTATGTAATAAAATACAGTAGAGATAATTGCCAATAAAAATGTATTATCTACCCTCATAAGATCGCCCTCAATTGCATGCGTGTTGTCAGTACAATATATGTAAACAACCAAGTACGTACAGTAGCGTCAATGCAGCGGACACTACCCTGCACAACAAAAAAGAATATAAAACGTTTGAAAAATTAAAAGTAATTGCTGTGTATTACTGTAAATAGGGAGTCTCTTCTTTATCAATATAATAATAATTTCACGCTTCGCACTGTTATGTTGTAACTATACTGAACTGTGGCCGGCAGTCCAGCAGAACTAGCGAAACTAGTCGAATGACTAAGGTGGTGTAATCGTGTTGCAGGGCGAGCCCGGGGAGCCTGGGCCTCCGGGGTCGCCGGGGCCGCAGGGAGCAGAAGGCCTGCCGGGTCATGAAGGACGAGCAGGGCCGCCAGGGCCCTCCGGTCCCCCGGGACCCGCAGGACCTGTCGGACCTCCGGGCCTCGTCGGTCCACCTGGATCACTGGGTCCCGCAGGGCCAAAGGTTAGCATCTAAAGTTATTTGTAATTTCGTTAATGTATGACCTCTGTGTGGTGACGACAGAATCTGTACGTCACCACCCTACCCTTCCTGCGGGTGTAGTAGCATTCTCTGATGAACCTAATCCTTTTCAACCGCGATCTCCAACCCTTCTGGCAGACATGGACATAAGGGCATCTCTCTCTTTTACAGTAGAGGCCCATAGGCCAGCTGTCTCGCGGATTGGTGATGTATTTATGACTTTATCTTGAGTGCGCGGTCACTACAAGCGAATGTTGCAAGTAATGGGACTTTGCCTATTTTGTAGGGTTCTTAACATAACTGGGCAACACTTGTAACTAGGTATAAATAATATATTTTTTTAATATGAGCATCAGTAGGAATATTCATTGAACAGTTTTTGATTTGAATCAGTCTGCTGTGAATGTGGCTACTTGTGATTACAGGGCGACAAAGGCGACAAAGGCGAGCGAGGATACACGACCACTCTGAAGGGCGACGCGTTCCCGACCGGCATCATCGAGGGCCCGCCCGGCCCGCCCGGCCCGCCCGGTACTGTCCACTGTAGTAGCCAGCATGCTCGGTGTCGGTGTGCCAGTCCTACACGTAGTCCCCGTAGCTACTCAACTAATTCACTGGGCAGCCCACGTGCACCACACTAAGAGTTTATTAACATTTTAAATTATACTTAACTATTTTTTTATTAGAGCTTTTTTTAAATATTCTAGCAAAGCGCAACTTCTCGCCATAAAGACCAACCAAACAGCAATTACTTATTTCAATTAGAGCAAGAAGGCACTTTTAGACTTCAAATAAGACAAACTGTCAGTCGGTCAGTCCTCTATTGAAGCTATTTGCTCGTATTTAAAGTTAATACGTCGGGTACAAGAACCTATAGGATTTTTTCGATAAATGGGCGAGATGTTGCGCTGGGAGTAGTTAGGCTGGTAATAGCGGGTGAGGTGACGGAGAGTGTTGTGCGAAGGCGCGGCGGGGGCGCGCGGCGAGCGCGGCGACAGCGGCGCGGCGGGCCCGCCCGGCCTGCCCGGCGACAAGGGCGCGCGCGGCAAGCGCGGCAAGCGGGTAACTCGCACCACGCCGCACGACGCACGTCGCACGACGCACGCCACTACCCTCGTTTGCCTATTGTTTAGCTTAGCATGCACCTTGTAGCCGGTGGCACGCGCATGCGCACGCTTGGCACGATTCTAGTACCGAGTAACACCTGCCACCAAGACCCGATAGTTGTTGTTGTTGTGGTACAAGTGACGACGGACGGACGGCGGCGGCGGCGCGCGTGCACTCTCCTCGCAAGGTAATACGTTTCACGTACTTTGTATCCCTGTAACCGCTAGGCTACTGGCGCAGAAACTATTAAAAAGCGCATGTCTACTCGTCCAGTTCTGTATTGTGATACTCGGCCCTGTGAGTGTACTTACTCCTACTATCCTACTTGTTATGGTCTGGAACAACGCATAGACCACTTGTTACCCCACGGCAACAGGGGTGAGGCCGCGTGCAGAAGCTAGTCTATGACATAAAAATGAATTACTCCGTGTGCTGCCGCAATCTCGAGAGCAGCTGAACCGATATACTAATTCATTTTATATTTGGTTTGAAATTGTTAGCAGGTACTTATGTAAGAAAAAATATTCCAAGGTGAAACTCGTAGTACGGGGTCCGCTCGTAGGTAATAAAACAATAGAAAGATCAAAATTGGCTACAGAGAGCAATGCCCGACATTATATTGTCCAAAGAAGATCTCTCTCGTCTGCGCCATTTAAATGTTTTAGTCTTCGAATTCTACGACTATATTTAATGAAATTTTACGATGGTAAGCAGGTAGATGAACATATTTTCCAATAATACATACCTAAATTAAGTTTACACCACCTATCGTAAAGAGTTTACTATTTGTACAATCGCACCTTCGGTAAAACATTTCTAGTACCTAATGTGCTAATGCTCTATAATATTATAATTATTATATCCTACGTATATGTATGTTATGCCCTGGCTCATAACATTATTATTCCTTTGTGTTACGGAAACCGCGAATGTGCAAAAAGTATAACCGTTATTGAGGAGTACGTATGTGGACGAGTCAGTGAGTGTGTGTGTGCAGGTCGCGACGGCGAGGCGGGCCCGCGCGGGCCGCCCGGCGCGGACGGCGCGCCCGGCCTGCCCGGCGTGCAGGGGCCGCCCGGCAAGCCGGTCAGTACTCCACTACTGCATCACTGCGGCACCGCCCACTCCTTCCATTACATAATCATTACTTCTATTTTGTTTTAAATTCTAGGGCGAGATGGGTCCCAAAGGAACCAAGGGCGAGTATGGAGATATGGGCTCCCCTGGCATGCTGGGCGCGCCCGGCCTGCCCGGGCCGCCGGGCTACCCCGGCTTGAAGGGAGAGAAGGGCGACAAAGGCGACTCGGTGAGCCGCAGTCACATATTACTCTCTCATTAGGGTGCAGAGTAGGTAGTACGTACGGTTCTAAGACTCATTGGAAATAAGGCAGGCGACAATTTAATACTGCTGAAAAAAAGTCGTAATGAACGAAAGAAGCCATGGACTCTGTCTACAATTTATAAATATTACTTAAATATACAAATATATACATTAAACGCAGCTTTACTGATAATATTGTTTCCATTGAATAGTGTACATAATCATGTAAGTAGTCGTGTGTCAAAGTCGCAGGCACACGATGTGTAGTGTAGTAGTGTGGAGCGACAAGTAACGTGTCGTGTTGTTCTGTTCCCGGCGCCGCGCCCGCGCTCCCCGCGACTCCCCGCGCCTCCCCGCGACGCTCGCCAGAAGTACAGGAAGCTGCGGCGGCGCCAGGTAACTATCCACTGCGAGCCCACACACCGCCACGCCTCGCCTCGTCCTCGAACTGTTAATCTTTATGCCCACTGTTGAACTTGCAGGGAGATGGCACCGGCTACGAGCTCTATGGACACGAAGTTGTAAGTATCTCCAAACAAATAAACAAGTTTGAGTTACTAAAAATCGCGGGTTACTCACGTGAATATACTAAGACAACTACTACACTCACTCATCTAAAGATAAGGATCCGCTGGCTGTGCCCGCAGTGTACATAATACCGTGCGACTGTGACTCGAGTTACATCGGGGACACTCGTCGCAACATCACAACCAGGCTAGAGGAACATATTCGCAGCGTGAAGAAGATGGATATCCAGGCGTCGGCAGTGGCTGAACGTGTGTGCGGTACGGACGCGGCTCACTTCATACGGTTTGATAAGGTCTCCGTACTAGCGAGAGAAAATACTTCGTTCCGCGAAAAGTGCGAGATTAGCCGACGTCCGTGCTTCAACAGGGATTGTGGATGGACACTGCCACCCACGTGGAAGCCGAGCTTGGAGTTTACATCGATCCACAGCGTCTCTAGTCTGACACAGTAAGCGTTATAAGTAACACTGACTTTGTCCCGGACCCGGAATCGAACCGGTAACATCGTCCAACGCGCCGTCGCCGGAATTAGAAGCAAACGCTCGTGGCGTCCGCAGAGGGCGCGGTGGGCTACATGCGCAAGTAGCAACATCGCCGCAACCGCACACGCTGCTCATGAGGAAGAACCCCTCTGTGGTTCGAAACTAGTAGAGCTTTTCTCAGAATATTGACGTGAGTAACCCGCGATTTTTAGTTAATTTAGTATGTCTCACGATAGTTGTTATAAAAACAAAGTTTGTGTTCTTCTCAACTTACTTCGACTCAATAAAATGATGCCAAGTGTGTTATGCCAAATTAAATTCTGACTTACAAGATTCTGCCAAATAAAAGGACCCTTAAACAGTTTATTTACATTAGATACTACACTACAAATGTTGACGAAATTTAATTTATCACATTCTATAGATAAGATCTTTAAAATTCATGTATTATAAAAAATATTAATATATTGCGACTTTTATTATTCGGGGTGTTTGGCACATGGAGGAGGTCGTAGCTAGCGACCTCACGAATCCCTGAAAAAAATGTGTTTTACCCTAAAAAGCAAAAAGAAACTACTATCAGTCACGTGTACTGCTAAGTTCCCGACCCACTAATAGGTAAGAATGCTGTGCCACAAGCCCATCACAAAATCATTAATGAAAACCTTAATACATACCATTTACCTATTAAGCTGCAAAGAATTTCATTACAGATAATTCCTGTGACCATTAAATAATATTTTGTAATGGGTTTGTGGCACAGACTACTTACCTATCAGTGCGTCGGTAAGTATTGCCAGTCCTATGTGCTGACATAGGACTGGCAATTCTTACTATTGTTTTTTAGTTTTTACCGTTTCTTAGTTTTTAGTTCTTGGTTTTTAAAGTCGACTTCATATAATAACTGGTTCTATTGTTGAGTGTTGCCCCCTCGTAAAAATACGGGTACTTACGGAAAAGCAGTAACCCGTATTTTCACAACATAATTAATAATTTCTGTAACTTGTGTAATACTGTTAGAAAGGATATTAACTAAAGAACATTGTAAAATAAAACTAAGTTCAAAATGGGTTTTAGTTATTTAATAATTAATTAAAAAGTTAAGAAATTTCAGATCTGTGAATGAAAATTAAACTTTGGGAGCTTTTAACATTTTTTTGGAAACCATTATTTAGATTTAAGACTTTGGAGTACATACAATTACAACTAAATTTGTTTCGGACTACCCAGGCCCACAAACAAAAACATATTTCGAGTTAAAGGAAACATGGGTATTTGTTTTTAATTTCTATAATCCACGCGTCGTGTCGTCGATCGCGTCACGAGCTCCGGCCACGACGTCTCGCATCCCGCGCGCGCTCAAAGAGCCATCAGAAGACTAAGTACGAGTTTCTTTTTCGTTTAATGTAATCGAAACGAGACGGCGTTCTGTGCTCTGATTGGTTTGTTTATTGGAGCCTGTGGTGTAGTAGTCGTAAGATATATATTAAGCATCCTATATTCAATATATTCAGTGTATTCTCGGAGCTCGTTGGTTTCATTACACTCATCCAAACACCCAACCTTACAAGCCGGCCAATCACAGCGCCGAACGCGTACTCGTTACCTTTACCTTTAAACGTAAAAGAAACTCGTACTAAGGCCTCAGACCACCACAGACGGGGCCCAGTAAGGCTGAGGCCCGACTGGCATTACGGGTCAAGCGCAATGATTTACTGCGGCCCAGCTCAGAGTAGGGTGGGAACGGAGTGGTGTGACATAAAATCCTTATGTTTTAAATATTAATGCGTACACTAACTCTGCAATGCCTGTAATAGTACGCTTCTGTGGAGATTATGGCAAAATTTCGTACGTACAGCAGGCGACGATGGACTGCTGCACGCTGTTGATGATTTTAATATTATGATATATGTATACAGATGATGGGCCCACCGGGCGCGCCGGGACCCGCCGGGCCTCCAGGAGTGGCAGGCCCTCCCGGCATCAAGGGCGACAAAGGTGAACCGGGTACGCGTGGGAAGTCGGTACGTACCATAATTATGCACAGTCGTCTACCGTAAGACAATACTTAAAATGTCGTACCTATTCATTTCTTTGATATTATTTTTCAGGGTGAAAAAGGAGAGAAGGGTGATGCGGGCCCCATGGGCCTTCCTGTGAGTGCACCGGTCTTTATTCAGTAGTTGTGGTGTAATGTACACGTACAAAATCAAGTATTTGCATGAATATCAACTCTGCATCCCTCAGGGGCCAGTGGGGCTGCCGGGAGAGCCGGGTCGGACCGGTGACACGGGGTCTAGAGTAAGTAACTACTTGTTGTTCACATTATCTAGTAACTCATTGCTGTACTAATTATTGCTTGTTCTAACACTCGGCTGCGGGTCGGGGATGGGGTGCCGTGTGGCGACTAGCTTGACTGTTTAATTAACATTTCACGAGTCGCACCTCAGCATGTCCACTAAGTAGACGGTAGTCGAGTGAAGTGTGCGTGTGTGCGTACTAACCCGTGGGCTGGTGTGGGCGCAGGAGAATCGCTGGCCGCCGGACTTCGCGTTCACGTAGTAACCGGGGCTGCGCGCCACCGAGCCGGGGCCCTTCGCCGCCGGGGCGGGGTCGCGCGGCACCGGGCCGGGGCCCTTCGCCGCCGGGGCGGGGTCGCGCGGCACCGGGCCGGGGCCCTACGCTGCTGGGCCGGGGCCCCACGCCGCGGGATCGGGATCGCGGCGCTCGCCCGCCGCTCTCCTCTAGTGGCGCGTCGCTGGACCATGATACGATCACTACACGCTCTTGTATTATATTTAAATCGCGTGACCGCAGCTTTAACTTGGCTGTGGGACCTACGACTAATGTTTATTTTTGTAAATTCATCTGTACCACTATCACTACTGTAATAAATCTAATTACTTGCTTTAGTTTTCGGTCGAGCCTAAATCCTGTACATACCTCATGTAAAACTTGTTGGCAAAATGGGTATATTATTAATATTAGATAAATATATCATAATAATTTGTTCCTCACTGAAACAATTCCAGTCATATTTTGTAAGTATGTGAATTCGTGTTAATATAATTAGTATTACGCTCAGAGTAACTATTTTTAAAAGGTATAAATATACAAATGTACAATAAGTTAAGGATAGTGTACGAGCAGACGGAGTGCCAAGTACACTATAAGTGTTGCCTCAGTATCAGTAGTCGCTAGTCGCGGCCGCCGCGCTGCAGCGCCACCTGCCCGCGCCGGCGTCCTTCCTACGCGCCCCGCTTACAGCACGTCATGTATGAATATTTGTTACGTTCAGTGATGCTGTGAGTAAACCGTTGAGGAGTTCACCACGAAGTCTTACTGTTTCACCAAAAAAAATGTAGTAACCCTACTTGGTCGCCCCTAAGTTTTTCGTAATTTCATCTCGATACTCCCGAGCTCTCACTAGCTCTTTGCTGTAACTAATGAACCAAACATTGTCATTGCCAAATATACAGTAGTGTTAGGGGCTGATATTTTTGATAGATTAGGCGGCAAACGAACTGAAACACTTACTCTTGAAACCAATCTCAAATCCATGCAATTTCAATCCAGTAAAATCTCAATCATTATTCAATGTAAAAAAAAAATATACAAGCCCAATCGAAGCTGTTAAAATAACATTCAAAGAACGGCATATAAGGCAAAGTAAAGCCAAACTCAATACCATTTAGTTCACTAAAATCGTGGGTATCTCACGTAAATATACCGAGAAAAGCTCTACTAGTTTCGAACCACAGAGGGGTTCTTCCTCATGAGCAGCGTGCGCGGTCGCGGCGATGTCGCGCAGCCTACTGGTAACTACCTAGTAAAGCTTTCTCAGTATATTCACTTGAGTAATCCGCGACTTATAGTTAGTTTATGTCTCACGATAGTTATTACAAAAACCATTTAATTCATTCAATATCCACGTAATACCGATGCAATAGGCGCTAGTGTTGCATTGCAAGAGTACGAAATTTCACAATGTCAATGTCGATCGATTGGAATTGGATTCAAGAGTAAGCCCCTGATGATAAACAATCGGCGTCGTCCACGGACACCCGGAACACCAGAGGAGTTGCAAGTGTGTTGCCTGCCTGATGACGCGCGTGGGTACGTGGTGGCTGTAGCCGCGGTTGGCGTTCCAGTACAATGTATCCGTGTACATATATATTAGTTCAGTGTAGAATAAGCACTCATGTGATATGATCGTCGACGGCATGGCGTTTGTAGTGAACCATGTCGTGTACAAAATTTCGTATCGACCATTGTCATATCTTCCTATATTTTAATGTAATTGTTTACAAAATTGTCGCCCAAATTCTTAGAATAGGCCTAACTATAATTTATAATTATATGTGAATAAATCAAGTGTTGTCATATGTACGTAAGAAAATAGTGAGTCGGCGCACACGGGCGACGAGTGCGCGCCACGCGCCGCCCGCGTGCGCCGAGTCGCGCGGCGCCGCGCTCCGAGCGCGCCGCCCGCGCGCCCGCGCCGGTGTTACCGTCCCACTAACACGTAATGTTACCTACTTTAATGTTGATTCGTACGTATTTTACTATGCTACTCTTACTAGTTAATCAGCTTAATGTTCTAAATATTTAGTCCACTTTTATCTACCCATGTACATATAAGTAAACTTTGGGACGCGCTGACGCGCACTACCTCCACTTGTTATCCCTCTGCATGCAAGATCCGAGTTGTCATACTGTTAGATTCAACAAGACACAAGCTGCGTCCCGAGTAAGGATATTGTTTAATTTATCATACAAATGTCTAAACTAATTGTAATTGCATTCCCCCGATGTGATAAATGTAGCACCAAACCGTTGAGGCTTACAGATTAGTTGGACCTTTCTTGTTGTTGTGTTGTGTATCGAAGCGCGTCGTCGCCCACGCGGCACCGCGCGGGCTCGAGCGGCCCCGCGGCGCCGCGGGCGTCGCTTGTACATAATATACCGGTAAGTATCGCGCTCTCGCTACCGCTCCTTGTTCTAATGTCACTTCTATTCGCTATTACTATAAATACAATAACTTTCTTGTCTTTGTATCATCGTGTACCTTTTAAGCGTAACATTAAGAATTTAGTTTTTTTATGGAAAACGAAAGTTGTCATTTGTACCATAATATACATCACGAAAACATAAAATATTGTTGTTTAAAAATTATTTTGAAAATAAATATTTGCATGCCGTGCATACCCGTGTTTCTTTTCTTCATCAAATATTTTACTTAGCTTCTCTACATGTATCGCAATGTTCTTTATGCCTATTCTTCCCTTCATCTAGGCAAGCCTCGTCTCAGCCTTCATATTGATCCCTGACGCAACACGTACCTATGTTTTAAAACTCGTTTGATATTTAAAGGTTAGCACACTTGACGGGTGCAGCTCTAACCTGGCTCCAACCTAATAATTAAATTGTCATTCAAATTTGAACAATACGTCGAAGTCATGTAATATTATGACATATTTCATAACGTCAATATAAAAAAAGCTGTAGGTAAGCGCGCCGTGGGCGCACTAACAGCTTTTTTGTTTTGTTTCCAAAGCAAAAAACGCCGTGCCGGAGCCGTGCTTGTTAGGTGTGTTTAAGATGTCTGCAGCTGTCTATAGATACGTGCCTACGTTACTTGGTGACTCTGAACTTCCTTCTTATTGAATGGTTTTTGTTCTGTGCATCCCAAGTCTTTAGCATATTTGTTACGGAGAAAAACGAAAAAACCGCATCTATTTCAAACCGAGCAAAAAGTATAGTGAAGTGCATATTTCATAGTGTATATGCATGAGCATCATCGTTGAGCACTGAGCTAGCGGTTACGTAGGGGGCACGCACGCGGCACACTGGTGCCGCGCTGGTGCCACGCTGGCGGCGCGGCGTGCGAGCGCGGCGCCGCGTGCGCGCTCCTGTAGCGGCCGCTGCTCATCTGTCAGTAGTGCTCACGTGTTCTTGTTCCGCAGGGCCCGCCCGGACTCGACGGCATGAAGGTTAGTTCACTAACTCACTATTAAAACAAATTATTTTATTCGGAAAATAATCTTTGTTTCTTCTTTTTTTCCAATATATTTGTATCTACCTCTATAAAACCCGTTGTCCCGTGACAGCAAAGGCCTGTGAGGAGCTGGCTGTATAGTACCTACGTGAGGTAGTTCAGTCGATCAAAAATAGCATTTCTGAATAACTTCGCAATATTTTTTTTATAAACTACGTTTAAAAACCGACTTCAATCAGTTAATTAATATACCTTCTCCTAAGTTTAAACACTTTTTTGAAAACCACATCATAATCAGTTTTGCCAATCGCGACATAATGCGCACAAACAGTCAAACTAAGAACCTCCTTTTTTTGAACTCTGTTACAAAGATTGGAAGGGATAAGCTGGACGGTTTGTTTGTTTGTTTGGTTGACCTTAGAGGTGCGGCTTACCCGGTGCAATAATGATACCAGCTACAGCGAAAATCCTCTCCCATAAATATTTGGCATTACTAGACCATTCAAATAAAGTAAAAATTATTTCTATAACACCAATTTAGCTCTTTAAACAAAATAAAAATGATTAAATCTATTTAATCTATAAAAATAATACAATAAATAATATAATGTTTAAAATTACTTACGAATGGATAAGCGATCTGTTTAGTTCTTTTTAACCGTCCTTTATAATTTTGGCATAATTTTATGAAGCGTGTCGCCATTTTTGCAATGTGCATTTTTTGTTTACGTATTTATTGAATAGCGTGCATAACACGTAGTGACGCCTGGGTGACCCGGTTGGTACTGCTGCTTGACAGGAAAGTGCAGTGCAAATTTTTGAAACAATCCGTGAAATGATATGACCCGAGCAGTGGGAGAAACCGCCAGGAGTAGCAAGTTACACATGGGATCAGAAGACTCTTTGTAAATGGGGAAAAGTATTAATAACGAATATTTTAGGAAACTGATGAAGGAAGAAAATAATTCGAGAATCGAGTGGTTATGCTTGAAGGTATAACAGGGACTGAGGGTTGAGCGTGGATGAAGTCAAATTGTAGTCCACTCTGTATGGCTGAAATGATGATGAAGAAAGAGCTGTAAATTCTTTATTAGACATGTTATTCTGTACAGATCCGAATGCTGGGCTATGAAACAGATGGATGAAAGAAGAGTGTATGCAGCAGAGATTATGAAAATGTTAAGATTAATAGGTAAATATGGCGTCACAAGAAAGGATAAGCAATAAACAATAGAACTTAAACGAAGTGAGATTAACGAAAAAATTAACAAATGCATTAGTCGCCTCTATAATTTTTAAAAGTTGCCCTCCGTTCCCCTGGGATTCCATCATCAGATCCTGACTTCATAACAATGGGACCAAATGACAAGCCTACCCTTTCAAACAAAAAAATAATTTTTGAAATCGGTCCAGGCGTCTTCGAGTAATCGAGTAACAAACAAAGAAACATACAGTCGAATTAAAAACCTCCTTTTTTTGAAGTCAGTTGAAAAGAAGGTGAATGGCTGTTCACTCCCTTATGAAGGCTCATAGATTGTGTAAAGAGTGATATAATTATGTATTTATGTATGTACATTCTTCGGCATGGATGGGTCTTCTCGACTGGAGTGATACCACGCCCTCACAACGTGAAACAACGTGTTGTGTTGCGTCGTATGAGTGAGGTTATCGGAGTACTAATTACCCCAATCCACGAATTCCCAACAATCCTAGAATTCCTAATTCCCAAAAAGGCGCACTTATAACACCACTGGTGTTTCGGATGTCAATGTGCGGCGCCGATTGCTTACCATCAGGTGATCCGTCTGCTAGTTTACCGACTTATGCCATAAAAAATGTGAAAGAGAGGAGTTTGTGATAGTATGGAAAAGAAAACTTAGTAACGATCCCAAGTAACTTGGAGCAAGAACAGGAAGAAGAAATATTTCGATTGGGTACATGTCGCTCGGTCGGACTATCAGCCTGGAGATACGAGTTCATGCATTACATAGATACCTACTTGGTATAATATATGGGACTATCTATGTCATTGGGTGTTGAACATAAAGGACCTTAATAATAATATTCGTCTGAAACAAATCCGGAAGTCAATACAGAAACAACGTGAAGAATAATAGATCAGCTCTGGCTACCCTACCCTGGCTCTGTTTAGCTTTATGATCGAATTGTAAAATGCGCGAAGGGCTAAGTATGAACTGAATTCTAAGTTTAACAGAAGAAACATAAAAGTACATTAAACACTTTTATGAGGTCTACTCTCAAGCAAAGGACTTTGATAGTCATAATGGAGGTAGCTGCTGCTGCAGAAAAAGAAGTGGACATTAAGAGTGTGTACCGAATATCAGATCTGGGCGCTGACTCTTGATACCAATCACAATGTCAATGCAATTTCAATCCAATAATTATTCAATGTCAAAACTATTCAACCCCTATCGTAGCTATTAAAATAGCATTCAGAGTACGGAATATGAAGCCGAACTCATTACCATTTAATTCTTCAATATCCACGCAATACGGATGCAATGGGTGCTAGTGTTGCAACTCAAGAGTACGAAATTTTACAATATCAATGTCCATCGATCGGAATTAGATTCATGAGTAAGCCCCCTGGTCTGTCATCAGGAAGGGGATAATTATTAACCCTGTTAGTACCGTCATTACCTATAGACACAATTAAAGAACAATAGGTTGCGGTCACCAGTGACCTCGCGGTGTTTGACAGTTCAAAAACCCAAACAAACAAACAAACGGGGCTAGCTAAATAAGACCGTCAAGGATTCTCTCCTCCCGGAAACTATTACGCAACTAAACAGTATTCGCCATAGTCCGCTATGGAGTTATGATAGGTACCTATAATAGTGTTGCAAGTGTACTTCAGCCTTGGTGTCCGCCTACCATCAGGCGCACCGTTCGCTTTGTTGCTAGATGAGCCACAACTCATCGATTAATGTGTAATATCGGTATAGCCACTAGTTGCACAAATAACGATGTACAGCAGTGCAGCACTAACCGCTCGTGTAACTGTACAGGGCGCGCAGGGCGAGCCGGGCTCTAAGGGCGAGCGCGGAGACCCGGGACTGCCAGTATGTACTGATGCCTTAACTATCACCTTAATACCTTGATATTACCATACCTAGTTTGCGTCGTGTTCAATACAACGGTCCCACTAATTGATACTCGCTCACTAATATTTCAGGGAACTGACGGCATTCCCGGACAAGAGGTTAGTCATTTCATCATTGTCATGAAAGTAAATGTTATTTCACCAAACGAATTATTGAAAATAATTTTTGGTTTCCGCTCGTTAGGGCCCCAAGGGTGACAAGGGCTACAAGGGAGAACCCGTAAGTGCCGGAACGCCCATCGCTGATGTATTGCACTGTACGCGCGCCGGCCAGCCAGCATGCGGCCGGCGCGCATCTAACCAAGCAGCTGTCGCATGCCCTACTAACTGCAGTAGTACGATATAACGCGGTGCAGGTGCTACTACTCTCGTCTACGTGATATGAAACATGAAAGCACGGCCTCTACACGACACACGGCGCACGCTCCAGTGCACGGCGCGGAATGGTGGAGCGACCCGTTGCACTGTGGCTCGTGATCGGAAGATGTTAGTATTACAGTGTGCGCCAACTCCGCAGGGTCCGGTGGGCAAGCGCGGGCGCAAAGGTGATAAAGGTGACAAGGGCGAGCAGGGCGTGCCCGGGCTCGACGCGCCGTGCCCGCTGGGGCCGGACGGGCTGCCGCTACCCGGCTGCGGCTGGAGACCCACGAAGGTGCGTGCGCCCCCTTACGCGACTCGCGGGCCGCGCCGCCGGCACTCGCGCCGCGCTCTCAGCGTCCAGTCGGCCGCGCTCCGCTGACCGTATGCTTGTTTATCCCTTATACCGTTTGAACCGGGTGTCTAGCACTAACGTAGTGTGCCTAACCCGCTGTCCCACTTATACTGTAACGGTGACCGGCCACTAACCGACGGGCTGTGCATGGTGTGGGACAGGAGGCGCCGCCGCAGGTGCCGCACCGCGAGGACGCGGGCGCGCCGCCCGACGACTCGGACGAGGAAGAGGGCGCGGAGGGCGCCGACGAGTACGAGGGCCGCGACGACGAGCTCGACGCGCCGCGCGATTACGACGACTACACCGACAACGCGCACCACTCGCACCACCACGACTGACCTGTGCCTCTCCTCTCCCTTCCGCTCCCCACCAATTCCCGCTCTTCTCGCACCTATTTGAGCCCCGCAAGTATTGGCCTGTAATTCCCCCTCCCCTCTTAGTAACTACTATCTACCTACTAACAGCGCGGTGATGGCGCAGCTGAACTATTGAGTGAGTAATGTTCGTGCCTAACGAGTAACGACACTCCAGCAACTGGTTCACTTGTAGAGCGCTTGCTGGAGAGTTGTTGACTGCGACGCTTCGATGCTTTGTACTAGTAGAGTAAAATTACTTACTTTATTTGATTAAATGGTGACGGTTGCCTTCTCATTTAGCACCGCCTGTAAAAGCCAAATACAATAAAATACTCGTCCATATTATTATATATCACAACACAACACTACTTTTTATACTCTATTACCGACGTAGGTCGTAGTAGAGTATAAAACTAGTCGTCAATTTGCCGTTCGTGGGATACTTGCCCCTATTCCGTACTTGAAGGTAATCGTAAAGTAAAAAGTAAAGTCACCAGAGACGACTAAGGGACAGGGACTACATAATTGGGTAGGTACTTGACAACTAGTCAAATTCAATTCATTTTTCGAACTGTCAAAAACGACCAGTTTTCTATGAATTTTGTATGAGATTGTGTCAATACACAATCTCATGTCGTCGTCGTCGTCGTGACGTCACGTTTTTTAGCGTCAAACAGCGTACTTATTTGTTAAAAATTTGCTGGAAAAATACTAAAATTGAGTTAGTCATAAAATCAATTAATGAAAGTGTGATTATTTTTTAGTATTTTATTGTACCTAGGTATTGAACAGTCGAAATAATTTATTTTGATTAAGGCAAGTACCCAATTATTTATAGATGTCAAATTAATGTATAACAAAGACAAAGCAGTTGTCTAATAAATCTTGTCCTTCTAACTTGCGATCTCTGACCCACTTGCTAAACGCGGAGGTGTGACGTGGAGAGTTGACGCGCGCTGTCGGTTGCAGGAAGCCGTGTTGCAGTGGGTGCGGCGCCGCCTCGACGTCGACAACGACTTGCCGCCGATGTGACGTCACCGCCGCCTCACTCCCACGCACGCCCACGCACTCCGCACGCTAGCCAGCACGGCGACACTGCTTGTCTGTGGATGTGAAATGAAATAATTATATTCTTAAACAAACTGTAGTTAAAAAGACGTTTCTATTTGCTAATGTACTGTACATAATTGTGTAAATGGATTGTTTTATAAATGAAGCTATTTTTATAAAATAGGTAAATATTCCAGAGGAGCCACGATGTGCGCCACAAGGGAATTGATCTAGTAAGAGTGCACACAACAGGGTATTCTGGGTGGACTCGTCCTGTACATAGTAGAGTAATGTAACATGATCGCATAGAATTACGATATTTATTCCTTAGTTCAATTGTGTAGATAAATGCGTCGTTTGCATGCGTTTTTTACGAAGACTTAAATCTATATTATGTAATGTATAATATTTAGTATAGACAAACATGTTACAAGTGTTATTTATAACATTTATATGTAGACTTGTAAATAATTTTATATCTTTCAAATAGGTACTTTGTAAATGAGCTTAGAGCTACTATATATTCAGTGTTTTTTTTCATTCAAAGCCTCACGCTTTTGATAACTCGTGGCACGGTCATTTCTGTGTCTATTTATTTAATAATAGAATAAAAAAAATTAAACACTCGAGAGAAAAAATAAAAAAGTGATGATGAAAATAATTGTATAATGAAACTTGCAAAATGTGACGAGTCACTAAAACCCGTGAATCCATTAATACCGAAGTACTGCCGTGTGAGTTGTGACCGAGTCACGAGCCACGGCGTGTTTGTGAAGCTGCGCTGCCCGGCCGGCCGCGCGGTCCTGACTGATAGAAGTATACCTATTGTTTATTTGTAATATCATCCTTAAATAGTTTAATGTCGCCTGTACATAATCATTAGCTCATTAGTGAATAATGTAGTGTCGGAGAGCCTAGGGTCGACCGGTACAGAGGGCTGCGAGTAGCACTGCCGGCGCTGACCTCAGCGGCTCGCACTACGTTGCATTCAGTACCTGCCGTTCGTTGTACATTATATTGTAGGTATTCATTAAGTGAGTGTGTGTTTTATATACGGTTAATTAGTTGATAAGTTCATTCCCATTAGCAGTCACGGAGTCACGGGCCCAGGTCCTCTGTGTCTGCTCAAGAGACTCGGCTGCCGGAGGATTACCTACCATGACAGCATTGTTTCCACTAAGTGAAGTCATTCAGTACCTACCATTTAGAACAGTACCGTAGGGACCCTCAGTACACGTCACACGTTTATATAATATGGGTGGGCGTAATGCCATGAGCATCTTACTTTCTCATCCAACTTTTAGCTGATGCCGTGAGAACGTAGTCGGAGCAACAAGTGAAAACTTAAAAGTAATATAGATTATCAAATATATAACATACAACAAAACAAAATACCTAAAGCCAAAATATTAAAAATCTCGCCGGACGTAGTACTTCTCACTGACTGGTGACAAACTTACTTGTTTTCAAAAAATGAAACTATAATCTCAGTGCGGACTCAGAATCGACTTTACAAGTAGGTAACTGTCTGATAGCACTACGGAAGTACTGATATGATAATAATATACCCACCACAACAGCTTTGAGGTACCTACTCTATCATTATCTAGAGAACAGGTAGTACTTTTTAACCGACTTCAAAAAAGGAGAAGGTTCTCAATTCGACCGTTTATATGTTTTTTAAACTATTGGAGTATTAGAGATCGCGTGCTTAAAATACTCCACATAGCTACCTACTCTACTAAATCACAATACTTGGCTGGCGCGCCGCGCGTCACTCTGGAGATAGCGACAGCGTGTTGTGTAGGTCGATATGTCAATGTGTGACGAACTGTCGATATCTTGTGCGCCACTGCTTACACAGGCGCGGCCGGTTCTACAGAACTCAACATTCATTCCACGGACTCTTGGTCCGTGCCCTTGTCATACAATTTGTTATTTATTACTTATCAATATTTATAAAGTAGGACCCTAGTTACACACTACGATTAACCACATCTATAATTATTATTAAAAGAATAGATTACGTAATAATTAGCTATTATCCATTTATCTCTATTTCGATGGCTCTACGAAATCAGTCCACCAACACGATGGGAGAGCCGACCTGACCCAGCAGAAGACACCCGTTCACGAGTATGACGTGTGTGTCAACAATTAGTCCGGTCAACCTTTTGATTGGGAACGGAACAACCCAACACACCGCGCCACCGACTGTAGGGCATTTATTCGTGCATGAAGCCTCAACCCTCGTTGCGTTGGCTGATTCCAATAGAGCTTACAATAGTCCAAAATTTAATTGGTTATTTTCTATAGTTACATATTTCTGCATACACATTTCCTGATGTTTCATTCGTTTATCACAAGGAACATTCCCCGCCCAAGAGAGTACCCACAACCGCCGCGTCCCTGTGTTTAAAAGCCATTTTCAGTATGTAGTCCTTAATCCCTTGCTCACTCTCATCAGTCGCCTTCCTGATTAGTTTGCTTATCGCGTCTTCACTGTTGTCTGTGTAATAGATGCAACCATGCGTGTGACGCGATATTGCTACTACCGCGTGTGGTACGCCATTATGAATTTTATTGCTGTTGCTGCTGCTTTGCTCACAACAACCACATTCGCACACGAAAGTCCCTGTGCCTCGTGTATTGTAAGGGTCGCGTGATCCCACGCTCGACCCGTATCCCTGGATCTTAAGGCATTCCTTTCCTGCCTGAGTGTGTACCAGGTATAAAGAGTCGGGGAGTGATGTTGGGATCATCGCTCCCGAGAACCTTTTTATCTCGAGGGATCTCGCGAACGACCTGGATGAGTATATGCCACTGTAAACTGTGCTGAGGGCATCGCCATTGTTGTAACTTTGTCATTGAATTTCGTAGATAATTCGATAGTCCAATGTCCAGCCTGATTTTTTTTAAACGTTGGTTTTTCTCCTTTGTCGTGGGTGCGTTTACAAACATACAATTTCACATACACATCATACCCAGACCCGAAACAACACAAAGTGTTGTTCCGTGCGGGAATCGAACCCGCGACACGTTGCACGGCTGCCGGTTGCCCAGCCACCGCACCAACCGTGCAGTCGAAGTACCGATTCAATACATTACATACATACACTCTAAAGTGTAACTGTGTGCATACACAGGTCACGGGAAAAATTATTAAAGTTATCTCTGGGCTGGTTGTGGTAGGTTCGTGTTACTGGCCTTCAGGCAGCGCGACCTGAGCCTGAGAGCTGGACACACTGTTCTGTTACAGTGGATGAGGAGCACAACGCGGTGGTATAGCGTAGTCTGTGTCGACTGATATTGTATCGATAGTGTTGACAGGTTGTACTAAGTAGTGACACTTATGGAGATCAAATATTACTATATTCGAAGAATGTCTTTCGTGAGACATATTCAATTAATTATTGTGATTTTCGGCTTATTTGCGTAACTGTTTGACGAGCAACTAGACTTGTTGAAAGGCACGGCCACGCAGCCACGCTGCGCTAGTTGCAGTATCTGCGCGACAGACGCTGCGTCGGTGGTGTGAATGCTGCTTACGAATATGAACCACTGGCTGAAACTAGTCGAGTTCCTCGTCAAACAGTTACTCACGTAACTGAAAGCTGAAAACATAGGTAAGAATGAATTGATAACTTTGTTTATAGAAGTTCAACTTAAATGTTTTCTCAAAAAATGTGTGTATATGTGTTGTGTATATGAGCAATAACATACCTAATGAACAAATACAATCTATACATTGAAAAGTTACCTAGTTTTATTTCAAAAAACCGAAAAAGTTTGCCTTTTAAAAAAAAGATTATAGTCACCCAACGCGTGTACCTATTTAGGATGATTTATTTACAAGAGCGGTTAAAAATCTTAATAGTTTACGAGTAGATTACTAAGCAGTGGCCAGGGCCCGATCCAGCTATTTCGCCGCTCAGGGCAATATTTGCCGCCTTTTACCCATTCGGTATTCCATAGACGGTGTAACCACATTTTAATTGCGTGGTTTTGTCTCAGGCACACAAACTATGGCGTATGTCAATGCTGGAAACTGCAAAATCGCATCGCAAAAAAACTAGCCTTTGCCAGCGGCTTCGCCTGCGTTCCTGGCTGTAAAAAGAAGGCTTTGTATTACTCCAGATCCATAATCTACCTTTATTTCAAATTCCATCCCGGTTCCTTCAGGCATTTAGATATGACTGAGTAACAAACACAGGCCCAAACTTACAAATATTCGAACTTGTAATAGCGTTTTATAAATGTCCCACACTGCCACGCTTGGCACGAATGGGCCGGCTCGACCGGAGTGGTACCACCAACGAGCAGAAAACCGATGTGAAACAACGCTTGCAATGTGTTCGTTGTGTGAGTGAAGTTACCGGAGGCCCAATTACTTAATTAATTGATGTTGTAGTTTTAGATGGTATATTTTTTATAATAATTTCTTGACATTTTTGTAATTTCCTTGAATTTAATTCAATTGCTCTATGATTGTATTCGCAAATTATGATTGAAGGAACACAAGGCTATTGTAATGTTTTTTTTTTGGCATAAGCCGGTAAACGAGCTGACGGATCACCTGATGGTAAGCAATCGGTGTCGCCCATGGACACCTGGAACACCAAAGGCATTACAAGTGCCTTACCGGCCTTTTGGGGATTAAGAGTTTGAGAATCGTTGGGGATTCAGGGATTGGGGAGATTGTGGAAGGGGAGGGTAATTGGGCCTCCGGCAACCTCACTCACGCGACGAAACACATCGCAAACGTTGCTTCACGTCGATTTCCTGTAAGGTCGCGGTATCACCCCGGTCGAGCCGGCCTATTCGTGCCGGAGCACGACTCTCCCACACGTGCTAACGCTATAGGGTCGTAGGCGCAGCTACGCACTTGAGAACACATAAAAAATGTCAACACATTAGTGTCGCCACAGTCTGGTGGATTATATTTTAGCATGTAAGCGTATTTTTTGTTGGGAGTCCTAAATATAAATAAATAATGCAACTTCTGGATCATCAGATACAGCTACAGGTATAAAATTATGCCAAGTTTTGAAAGGTTGTATCACAATCATATAAGCATTTGGCCTAAAAAGGATCACACTATACTATAAAAAATGCGTCTCCTGCTGGAGGCGCATTTGCGTGGTGGTCCACGTGGTATGAAATTTTATACTCCTCCTAAATGGTCATTGAGAATAGGTACATTATAAAAAATCGATAAGTACCTACACACTAAAACGTATTTTTTTTGCTAATGGGCAAATCCCACTGATAGAGACCGTTTCCCGAACGTCATGTGGTCGTGACCCGAGCGACACGAGCTGATACGAGGTACTGTCAATATTATCATCAGTCTTAGTAACTAGTAAGAAGTTTTAAAATGTACCGCAAAACAAGTGCAAACTATAAAACCACTTACCTACTGATTGATGAACGAATCGACTCTTGGTAGAGACTGCAAACACGAAATCGTAATAAACGATCGGGAATTAACACTAACAGTATAAAGAGGAAAGATTTGATTGTTTGTTTGCTTGCTTGTTTGAATTGTATATGCTCCGAAACTACCGAACCGATTTAAAAAATTATTTACCGTTGGAGTTGGAATACTACAGCATTGATGACGAACAAAGGCTGTGTTTAATAGGAGCAAAAAGACAACCGACAAAAGGCAACAAATTTTGATAATGTAACCTAATGTCGGAAAAAACTACCAAAAAGCTCCTTATATTGCTTAAGCTTTTGAAAAAACTGGTTTCAAGAATGAATAATAGTATTTAGATGCACCAGAATCAGGGATTTTAAAGAAAAATATAAATTTAATTAACTGAATACATTTTATTCATGTTCTAGCTTTTGCCCACGGTTTTGCTCGCGCTCTTTTAAAGCATTGAGGGCCGGTTTACAAAAAAATAATTAGTGTTCGATGTTTTGCTGGTCACAAATATGATACCAATTTTATTTTTATTGAAAACTAGCTGTTACCCGCGACTTCGTCCGCGTGAAATAACGACTTCTGTATAAATTGGGTTTTTTAAATTAGTCTTTGTCAAGGTATATTCTATGGCTGTACAACTGGAACAAATATCATCACAATCGATTCAGTACCTAGATTAGATTTATTGAGAAATGAATTTATTTTCGTGGTTTCTAAAATAAACAATCCCATAGAGGTTTTACCCGTATAGTGCCCGTCTCGTGAAGTTTCACTATTCTATGTTTGCAAATCAATGTTGTATCGCATTTCAATCAAATAGATATAGTGATTTTAACAGCACAGTTCCCGGTTTCGTGGGTTTTTCGGGTTAAAAACTTTTAGATGTCCTTTCCCGGGTCTCAAACTATCGCTGCGCCGAATTTCACCAAATAGGTTCAATGGTTTAAAAGGTAAGAGCCCCTCTTTATTTCAACGTCCTTGGTCCTGGTTTTTTAGCGCATAGTTTCCGTCATTTTGGGATTTCCTCTCTCCTATAATGTGACCTGATATGTACCGGTGCGACGTGCGTTACTATCGCAAACATTTAAATGAAAAAATAGGTATTCTGATATTAGGTTAGTTACATATGATACATGTACTTTAATGTTGATATTAATGTCCTCTATAAGACTTAATACATCCCTTGGCTCTATTGTCCATAATTTCCACAGCGTAATCAATACCAGTAATATAAGGAGTTTTTTTGGTAGTTTTTCACACATCGGGTTGTCATTACCTAAAGGAGATTTTTTTTGAGGTCGGAAAATCATCCAATCACTTCTCCCGCCTTGGGTTAGGTGAGAGGGAGTGACAGATTCTTACTGACTAAAATCCACTCCGTTCCTACTCCTGCTCGTCGAGCCGGAGCCCCGTCAACTCGTTAGGCCTCCCGCGGCACCGTATCGAGCATCAGCCCTACTGGGCTCCATCTATGATGGTGTCATGGCTCTGTAAGGCGCGCGCCGTATGCACGGGACTGGTTCTGGTCGGGTGGCGAGCTACCCTTGCTCTGCGTCTACAGACCCGCACTTACGGTGGCCGGTGTGAGTGTCTCCCGCGACGGCTGGGGCGTGGAAGTTCATTCCCTCACACGCTCCGCTTTCTCCTTGGCAAGCATAACTGCTTCGCAGAAGGATGCGACTGCATCCCAATCCCCCTCGCTCCATGGCCTGAACCAGAGCCGAACGCGAGAGGTCACCGTTTCCTACATCCCTGAGAACACGGCGGTGCTCAGCCCATGCAAGGTACACCGCCACGGTATGCTCCACCGTGTTCTCCGGGCGGTCCTTGCATTGATGGCCTCTCTAAAGCCACTTTTAAAGAGGGGACTTTCCGCTGCAATGACAGCGAGCCCAGCCCTCGGTTACCTAAAGGAGTGTTTCGCTGTGTAAGTGAGGTTACCGGAGGCCCAATTACCCCTCCCCCAGCCCCCCCAATCCCTAACAATCCTCAAATAACCAATTCCCAAAAGACCGGTAACGCACTTCTAGCACTTCTGGTGTTACAGATGTCCATGGGCGGCGCAGTGATCCGTCTGCTCGTTTACCGGCTTATGCCATAAACAAACAGCAAACTATCATAGTGAATTTGGCCTTGACGGTCTAAAATGAAAAGGACTAATATTATTTTTTAGCTATGTGCATTTAGCTAGTTTTTTTGATATACATATAAAAAATACGAATTCAAGTAAACTGAAAATATTTTATTCGTGGTTTTATCTCCTTAGACTGCTGTCAACCTCTTTGCATACCTTAATATTAATACCATAGTATAAAAAAAATCTATGACACATTGACTTTGTAAACTCACTTGTCACACAAATGTCAGATGACTTAAGAAATGTATACTAATAATATAAATTTGTATGTGCTTGTTTGTTTGTCCGTATTTCACAACAGAACGGAGTCAGGAAGGTTTTTGATTTGAGATAGTTGAAAAGATGGAGAGTATCATAGGCTACTTTTTGTCTTTTTTTAACCCCCTTCCACTTCCGTGAAACAGAGGTGAAAGTTTGTATGGGGTATTTTGCAATTTTCAATGTGGAAAGCTAACAATTGGTATGCGGGTTATTTGTGACCAGCATAGAATAGTGCATCATTTAATTTTTTTATTGTAAATCCTTCCCTCACCCCATTAAAAGAACGCGAGAGAAGCCGCAGACAGAGGCTAGTCTATGAATAAATTGTATTCAGTCAATTGAATTCGTATTTTGTCTTTAAAATCCCTGATCCCTGATGCAGCTGAATACTAATATTATTCCTTGAAAACCCACAGAACTTCATTTTTATATGTTGATGCCAAAATATATTATGAAAGTAGGACGTCATAACAATTACAAATCATCAGGTTGGTTACCATAGTAATGTTACCTGTCAGATATCCGTTTTCAGGTTTTCAGATAAATCGTAATAATTATTCTTACAACAACCCCTTTTTCGCGATAAAAAGTAGCCTATGTTTTATCTCGGAGTCTAGAATATCTGTATACCAAATTTCATTCAAATCCGTTCAGTAGTTTTGGCGTGAAAGAGTAGCAGACAGACAGACAGACAGAGTTACTTTCGCATTTATAATATTAGTTAGGATTACGAAATGCTCCATACAAACTTCCATCCCCTGTTTTAGAGAAGTGGTGGGTCAATTCGGTTCAACGAGAGTTTGAGACACTGGCACTGGAAAGGACGTATGATTGTTCTATCTTGGAAATCACACGGGACAGGAACGATGCGTTAAAATTCCGGGACACTATCGCTTAAACCACTGAACCTATTTGAGTGCAATTCGGTACCTACTACGATAGTTTGAGAACTGGGAAAAGTAAGCAATGCACGCCACTCATGGACACCCGAAACACCAGAGGTGTTACAATCCAATTCCGATCGATCGATATTGGTATTGTAAAATTTCGTACCTTGAGTTGCAACACTAGTGTCCATTGCATGTCGCGGGGAACCTAACGGGTAACCGGGGCTCCGGCTCGATGTGCAGGAGAAGGAACGGGGTGATTTTTAGTCAGTAATAGTCTGACACTCACCAGCTCACTCAGTTTCACCCAGGCGGGAGGAGTCATTCGATGATTTTCCCCCCTTAAAAAAAAAGTGTCCATTGCATCCGTATTGCGTGGATATTGAATGAACTAAATGGTATTGAGTTTGGCTTTATATTCTGTACTCTGAACGCTATTTTAACAGCTACGATTGTGGTTGTATAGATTGACATTGAATAATAATTATTGAGACTTTATTGGATTGAAATTGCATTGACATTAAGATTGGTTTCAAGAGTAAGCGCGCGGAGGCGGTCCATTAGTGCCGAATCATGGTTCAATCAAAAATATCAGTTTTCATCCCGAAAATCTCACGGAAACAGGAACTGCGTTAAACTTCTGGGTCTCTCTATCTTTTAAACCATTGGACTTATTTGAGTGGAATTCGGTACGATGATAGTTTGAGACTTGGAAAATAAAAGTTTTCAACCGCTGTATCTATTTGACTGGAATTCAAATGAAGTTTTAAGCACTGAAACCTCACAGGAATGGATACTATACGGGTAAAATCCATGTGGGATTGTTTATTTTTTGAAATCACGAAAATTAACAACATTTCACAATAGATATAACTGAATCGATTCTCCTTTCCGAATCCTTTTTCTGTACATTTTACGACAAAATCGTTAACTACGAAATTAAACTACATACAATTGCCTACAATTTATGTCTTGATAGCTTTATTGTAATATAAGTCGTTTTGTCGCCAGAGCCCCGCATAGTACTTACGTTTTATGAGCATTTTGGTAAAATAATATTTCCACACCACGTGAAAGTAGAGCAAGTGGCGCCTTTTTGTTATAACATAGCAACGTCACGCCTTTTATACCCGAAGGGGTAGGCAGACGCGTACATTATGCTACACACAGTGTACACTGTACTATGTAACACTCACTTTTCACTACTTACCTACCTATTTTATGAGTCCCATGTAATAGGGGGTGAGCCTATTGCCATATACCGGGCACAATTCCAGACTCCGTGCTACTACTGAGAATTAAAAAAAACCCAGTATTACTTTGCCCGACCCGGGAATCGAATCCGAGACCCCTTGCCCGGCAGTCGCACTTACGACTACTCGGCCAACGAGGCAGTCAACGAAACGAAGATGCTTGCGACATTGTGATCGGCGATTTTTTTAAATGAGAGTGAATGTACCAAGTTTTTTTCAAAATGCAAATGAAGTGTAGTTTTGAAGAAGTGTTTTTCTCGTGTTGATTGGAAAAGAGTGATTGTAAAAAAACTCATTAGGCATCATTTTCCAATATGGTGATAATTCACTTTATTATGATTTTCATTCGACCCTTGGGTACCAATCGAAAAGTCACAGGTCGAAATTTCGTCCGGATAATTTGCGATGCACTTCTGAAAATTCATTACTGGCATTTTCGTTCAAAATAAAGATTATGACATACCGATGGGTGCCCAAGACGAAATTTCCTATGTGTGGTACATCAGAAATAGCTATAACGGCCGGAGATTATGGCCATCTCCTAAAGTGTGTAAGTACCACAATCACATGAGCATTAGACCTATAAACGACTACAATATATAAAAACGCGCCGCTTACTCTACTTTCACGTGATGTAGAAATTAATGATTTCCCCAAAATTCGCATATAAATGTACTTTACGGTGCTCTGGCGCCAAAGCTACTTTTACAAAAAAGTTATCGATACATAAATTGCAGAAAATTGTAAGTAGTTTAATTTCGTAGTTAACGGTTTTCTCGTAAAATGCACAGAAAAAGAGATATTGTAAAATATCTGGTTTTGGTCGCATTTTTCCAAGATGGCGGCGCGAGCGGCGCATGTACCTATTTACAAAGGTGCAAAATGTGCCGAAAAGATCACAATCATTAAAATCTACTTATTATAGTATCCTACTTTAATATATGTACCTAATTATAGTTTACAAGCGCTAAATTACTATTCGCTCACCACCAATCATAGCACTAGTGAGTGGTCCATAGACATTATAAACCGTAGACAAAACTGTCTTGTCTTCGTTATGCCTCATAAGTAGAAAACTCTATATAGGATTATTGTAGTCTTTGGTTTTGCGCGTACGACGAGCGAACGTGAAACCTGTCATCAGCTCGGTCGCTTCGGTTCGCCTGCGACGTTTGACAATGATCCTTATTGCTTGGTACGAAAGCTCAAAATGACACACGAGCAGTTTCGCTTCACGCACATTCGTGTAAAATTTATAAACACAATCACCATTCAAACGTCATGTCATTGTAATTTATAAACAAGCTCAGTTAATATAGGTAGGTAGTTGTCAGTATTTGTATGTTGTGCAGTTCTGTTGAGTTTCGTGTGGGTTTTCCTCATTTTTTATCCTCAACACAGTGTGATAAAACTAAAATTATTATTAAATTTTTAGTGTGTTTACTAAAAAGTAAACCATTTAGTGGTGACGATCGATGTCGTTGTGACGATTTTTGTGACTTGTTCGTACTACAGCAATTTATCAGTATTTTTATAACACTTACGTATACTTACATTACAAAATCTAAACACAAGTTACTCACAAGTGGCGTATGAGCATGATGTGTTTGTGAAGTATGGCGCGCTGGGCTTTGGTGCTGGCGCTGGTCGGGGCGTGGTGGGCGCCCGCGCAGCTCATGGAGCCGCCGCACTGCGCCGCCGCGGGGCGCTGCACGGCCGCGGGCTCCAGCCAGAGCGAATACATTTACATCGTTGACGGTGAGTCGCTGCTATAGGTACAACTTCAGGTCACTGATTATCCTTAGGAACTACAAGGTGACCCACTGACTGCACTGACTGACCCTAATCCTACATAATTATAAACACTTTGCCTCTAAGGATACTCACTGACCTACACATGCCTACTTCTGACTGAATATTCTAACCTTTCTAGTACCAAATAGTTATAAAATTCTGAATACATGCTTCTTATTTTAACAACTAAAACATACGACCATTGCTCCAAAATGTATGGACCCAGTCCCTGTTGTTTAGGTCGCCAAATACCTCAAAAACTGTAAACCCACTGTAAATATCTTTGTATGGTCTGAAACATCTGTCAGGCAAAAGTGACAATGACTTGAAGATATCAGAATCAATCACATAGTTACAATAATAGGTAGCATAATTATTGTGATACCAATATGTTGTTTCTGACATTTCAATCCAAATATAACCAATGGCTGCCTCAGGAGTCGAATGGTTACAAACTAAGCAAGAGGTCTTGTGCTGGATTCTTAGGCCTGGAAAAGCCCTAAATTACAGACCACCAATCAAAGGTCAGAGTCGAGGAGAACCTAACAGGTAACCGGGGCTCTGGCTTGAGGTGCAGGAGAAGGAACTGGGTGGTTTTTAAAAATACCAATCAAAGGGCCTTACCCTCCTTATCATTTCAAACTGAAATGTTTATTAGAAAAGAGTGGCATTGACTTGTTCATTTCAAAATTACCTACATTCTTTTTGGTATGTTTTAGTATCTATTATAAAAGCTTCTTTTTTATTCCAAACCTGAATATTATATAGATACAGGTGTTATATATATTGTATGATTTTACAAGTATCACAATACAAATAACTAATAAATGGACTTAAAATCATCAAGTAAAATTCAAATATTTTATTTCGCTTGTGGTCTTCAGACTGTAAGTGTGTACAGTATGACCTAGTTTATGTTGGCTATTAAAGCCAACATAAACTAGGTCATACTGTACTATCTTCTTCACCAAAAATTTCACAACTATTGAACCACAATACGGGACAGACACAGGTATCTTCTGAAATATAATATTAGCAAAGTTCAGATTTTTAACCTACTCCTAACTGAAAGAAAATGTATGTTGAGTTAACTACGACAATATCATTATTTACAGTTCTTTAGTTAAACTGTCAAACACCAAGCGGTCACCGGTGACCGCAACCTATTGTTCTTTAATTGTGTCTATAAACCGGTAGTCGACGAGTTAAAGGATAACAGATCTTTTTAATATATTAGTTATTTTATATGAAATAAGAATAAAAGTAAATTACTTTTGGTTTCATTTAAGCTCTTGACTGCCAGTATATGAGACACAAAGGAAAATACATTGTTGTGTGTGGATCTGCATTTCGTAACAGGGTGGGTTAATGTTATTCTATTTTTTCACTTTGTTTGGTCACATAGATATCATTTTTATGATAAGAATGTTGTTTTTTAGATTACAATATTGTATTTTCCAAATTATTTCTGTGTAGAACCACACTAACCACCTAAAATTAACAGAATTTTGATTACTTTGGACTAACTTTAATTTTTTAAGTAGGTTTTTATACCATATGTGTGAAGTCTTGCAACAAAATTTTTAAGCAGATATTGTTTGTATAACATGTTTTTAAATTAAATTATTTTTATGACAACCTGTGTGTTAATATTTTTAGGTTAAGTAAAAAATTAAGTACTCTAAAGTCATTCAAATTTTATTAAATGTCATTTCTTAATTATGATAATTATCATCTCCATGATAGGATTCCATAGAACTTATTACAATAATAAGTGCAAGTAAAAAAAATATGTAACTATAAATAGGTATACATATTTTCTATGTTTAAGTCTTTCAATTGTGAAAAAAATTAGATGATAATATTGTGTGGTTATCAAGATGGGCGTAAAATTACAATTAGGTACCTACTAAAGTTCCAAACAAACAGGGCAAGCTAAATAAAACCTTAAAAACACATGTCAGGGTGCAAGTGAGTCTAGCTATTCACAACTTAACTATGGGGCAGGTGTTGGAATGGAGTGGTTTTTCTAGTTAGTAATGTTTTCTTTTTAAGTATATTTCTATATCCAGGAAACAAACAGTATCTTACAAATAAATTATTACCTACAATACAGTTTGATACATACAGGCTTAGAGTTCCATAAAACAATAAAAAAACAAAAAAGGCACTGATTTTAAAGGTTCCTGATTGAGAGGTAGTTACATTAAAAATATGTGCATAAAGTTTCTACTAGTAGAAAAGTAGTAGGGACATGAATTTACTTACAAAGTGACCATGATATAATAACTCCTTTCCTAGTTAGTGCTGACCTGAGTATAAATCTGGTTAATTTTAGATTTCTCACATTGAAAATGGTGTTTAATATGTCTAGTTCATTATATACAGGGTGTCCCTGAAGTTGACGATCAAATGGCACCAGGTGATTGGCAAGGGTCCAACAGTCATAAGCAAAATATAGAAAAATTTCCAAGTTACCTATATAGTTCTTAAATTACTATGTGTTATCTACGTAAAAATACACCCTGTGAAAGTCTTTTGACTCTTGTTGCTATAATTCTTTATTTAGTTTATCAACAACAATAGTTGTGGTAAACAAACAACTTCATTTTACGACGGCGAACATTGTCTTCGCTTCCTAGTAATAGTAAGAATCATTGTGGGAATGAGCACTGGAAAACGGTTGTCAGTCGCAAATCAAAATATAAAAAACGACTGACTAGTGTGTTGGGTGCGTCCAATGATACTGACGGTGGATTTAGTGGCTGATTTGAAAGTAGGTACCAATTTTTATCTGTCACATACACAAAGACACCACTGAACAGGTTTGGCAGGTCCACCCCAGGCAATAATACCATAGTTAATGATAGATTGGCAAAGGGAAGAGTAAACCCGTTTTATGATCTGGAGACCGGCGACTTGCCTTAATGTCTTAAAAATATATAAAAGTTTTCTTACACGACTTGATAAGGCATTTATATGTTCTTTGCCAAATTGTGATCTATGATAAAGTCCAAATACTTAACATGCGTAACACACTCTAATGGTACACAGTTGCAGCCATCCAGTCCAGAACAGTTGTGTGGGAAGAGACAATGATTAGTGTTAGGCGGTTTAAGTGGACCACGCATAAAAAAGTCAAATATTTGGTCTTATCACTGTTCAGTGTAAGTTAATATTTAGCCATTGCTTCACCAGATCAAGCCCAGCTTGGGCATCCTTGAATGCCTCATCCGATGTTTCGGCATTAAATATGAGGGCAGTGTCATCCGCGTAGGAGACTATTTGGCCGTGGGATATGGATAGGTTGGTAAGATCGTTTATATAAACGAGAAAGAGAGTGGGGTGTAGGATACTACCCAGTGGCACCCAAAATGTAACAGGATGGTACGAGCTAGTACGATTCCCTATTTTGACGCACTGAAATATATGATACGGATAGATAACTCTGAAAGAGTTTTATCTAACTGTGTGCCTCTTACACCGAATCTTTCGAGTTTTTGTAGAAGGATGAGTATCGCGATGGGCTTATAGTATTGAGCATCTGCAACATGCGGGGCCTCACATTGCTCGTGTGCTAGCCATGTTTTACTCGTTGTGCCTAAGCCACCCTCACTTGCCTGAACAGTTAATGAACACCATTGTGGTACCCATAATTAAAAATAATACTGGAGATAACGCCGACAAGAATAATTACAGGCCGACATCCTTGGCGACTGTGATGGCCAAGGTGCCAGACAGCGTGTTAGACGCGCAATTGCCCAAATCTATAGCGCTCCACGATATTCAATTTGGTTTTAGGCCAGAATTGTCGACGGAGAGCGCCATATTGTGCGTCAAGCACGCTGTCTGCTTCCTTGATTTGAACAAAGCTTTTTGATCTGGTCTCCCATGATATTCTGTGGAAAAAATTACAGTAGGTGTATCTTCTCAACTTGTAAACATTTTGAAGTATTGGTATAGTAATCAATCTAATAGTGTGAGGTGAGCAGGCACACTCTCAGATCCATATAAATTGGAACGTGGCGTAAGGCAGGCAGGTTTGACCTCGCCTCGGCTGTTTAATTTGTATATAAATGCCTTGATTCAGGAGCTCAGCAGCCAACGTGTCGGTTGTCACATAGATGATGTTTGTGTTAATAACTTTAGCTATGCAGACGATATGGTATTGCTGAGCGCTTCAGTTTGTGGCATTAGAAAACTTTTAAAAATATGTGAAAGTTATGCAATTGAGCACGACTTAATTTATAACACTAAGAAAGCGTGTATGTCGTTTTTAAGGCTGGTACTAGATGCCCTGGTAGCGTACCCCCTATAAATTTGAATGGAGTAGAATTAATTAGAGTACCCTACTTCAAGTACCTAGGTCATCTAATTACCGAGGACCTTAGGAACGATATGGATATCGAGCGTGAACGTAGAGCGCTGTCCGTCAGAGCAAACATGATTGCTCGCAGGCTTGCGCGATGTACTAGGGATGTTAAAATCACAGTATTTCGAGCCTATTGTATATCTTTTTACACCTGCAGCCTATGGGCCGTCTATACTGCGGGGGCGTACAGTGCCCTTTTTTTTTAAGGCAGGAAAATCATCGAATGACTGCTCCCGCCTGGGTGAGGCGGAAGGGAGTGTCAGACTCTTACTGACTAAAAACCACCCCGTTCCTTCTCCTGCACGTCGAGCCGGAGCCTCGGTAACCCGTTAGGTTCTCCGCAACAGTGCCCTACGGGTACAATATAATAACGCTCTTAGAGCGGCGCTGCCTCGCCACTGTAGTGCATCACGTATGTTTTTGGAGACGCACATCGATTGTTTCTATGCCACTATGCGTAAGCGATGCGCGTCAATGCTAAGCAGAGTGCGTGTTAGTATTAGCACCGTTTTGACTTCTGAGGATGATAGCCATTAGGCTGGACTGTCTGTACATGGGTCGATGTATCAGTACTCATATAGGTATTGATACC